TTTCCGTAAAGTAAAGAGGCACTCTGGACAGTAGAAAGGATGTGGGGTTGGTGGTCAAACAGATGATTTGCATTTGAAACTTGGCCCTGCCACTTATTAAATTTGTAATCCAGGGCCAGTTACTTAATCTCTCTGGACTTTGTTTCCTAATCTACAAAATGGGAAGAGCTAATGGTATCTGCCCAATGGAGTTGTAAGAGGGAATATTTGGCCAGGAGGCATTCAGTGAATGGAGTTTCCTTCTTTTTGCTCAAGTCACCCAGCTAAGGAGTGGCCAAAATCTGCTAGGACCTCAGCTCTTGCTGGAGCTGGGGAGAGCAGGCCCTAGGAGGTGGACCGAGCTCTGAGGTCCAGCCCTCTGCCTTATGCCTTCCCATCTCTCCAGGTCCTGGGGAGTCAGAGAAGGTGCAGCAGCTAGAGGAGCAGGTGCAGAGCCTGACAAAGGAGCTGCAAGGCCTTCGGGGTATCCTGCAGGGACTGAGTGGGCGCCTGGCGGAAGATGTCCAGAAGGCTGTGGAGACAGCCTTTAATGGGAGGCAGCAGCTAGCAGATGCAGCTGCCCGCCCTGGCGTGCACGAAACCCTAAACGAAATCCAGCAGCAGCTGCAGCTCCTGGATAACCGTGTCTCCACCCACGACCAGGAGCTGGGCCATCTTAACAACCATCACAGTGGTGGTGGTGGTGGTGGTGGCAGCAGGGCACTGGACCCAGCCCCGCTCCCTCCTGGCCACAGTGAGGAGCCACTGCGGGGGCTGGAGCAGCGGCTGCAGGAGTCCTGCTCTGTGTGCCTGGCAGGGCTGGACGGCTTCCGCCGGCAGCAGCAGGACGACAGAGAGCGGCTTCGAGCACTGGAGAAGCTGCTGGCCTCTGTAGAAGAGCGGCAGAGGCAGCTCGCTGGGCAGGCCCTGGGTCGCAGGCCCCCGCAGGAATGCTGCCCTCCAGAGCTGGGCCGGCGGCTGGCAGAGCTGGAGCGGAGACTGGATGTAGTGGCCGGCTCAGTGACAGTGCTGAGTGGGAGGCGAGCCACTGAGCTCGGAGGAGCAGCTGGGCAGGGGGGCCACCCCCCAGGCTATACCAGCTTAGCTTCCCGGCTCTCTCGCCTGGAGGACCGATTCAACTCCACCCTGGGTCCTTCGGAGGAGCAGGAGGAGGGCTGGCCGAGGCATCCTGGGGGTCTGGGCCGCTGGCTGCCTGCTGCCCATGGCCAGCTAGAGAAGCTGGAGGGACTATTGACCAATGTGAGTGGGGAGCTGAGTGGGCGGCTGGATCTGCTGGAAGAGCAGGTGGCAGGGGCTGTGCAAGCATGTGGGCAGCTCTGTTCTGGATCCCCAGGGGAGCAGGACTCCCAGGTCAGTGAGATCCTCAGTACCTTGGAGCGCAGGATGCTGGACAGCGAGGGGCAGCTGCTTCTGGTGGGCTCAGGACTGCACAAGGTGGAAGTAGCTGGGGAGGCCCAGCAGGGTGCACTGGAAGGACTGCAAGGGGTTGTGGGCCAGCTCCAGGGTCGTGTTGATGCACAAGATGAGACAGCTGCAGAGTTCACAGTGCAGCTGAATCTCACAGCCACACGGCTGGGCCAGCTGGAGGATCTGCTGCAGGCCCGTGGAGATGAGGGCTGTGGGACCTGTGGTGGTGTCCAAGAGGAACTGGGCCGCCTTCGGGATGGTGTGGAACGCTGTTCCTGCCCACTGTTACCCCCGCGGGGCCCTGGGGCTGGTCCAGGTGCTGGGGGACCAAGCCGTGGGCCTCTTGATGGTTTCAGTGTGTTTGGAGGAAGCTCAGGTTCAGCCCTGCAGGCCCTGCAAGGAGAGCTTTCTGAGGTTATTCTCACCTTCAGCTCCCTCAATGACTCACTGCATGAGCTCCAGACCACCGTGGAGGGCCAGGGCGCTGATCTGGCTGACCTGGGAGCCACCAAAGACCGCATCATCTCTGAGATTAACAGGCTGCAGCAGGAGGCCACAGAGCATGTGACGGAGAGTGAGGAGCGCTTCCGAGGCCTGGAAGAGGGACAGGCACAGGCTGGCCAGTGCCCCAGCCTGGAGGGGCGACTGGGCCGCCTTGAGGGAGTCTGTGAGCGGTTGGACACGGTGGCTGGGGGACTGCAGGGCCTGCGAGACGGCCTTTCCAGACATGTGGCTGGGCTCTGGACTGGGCTACGGGAAACCAACAGCACCAGTCAGACACAGGCAGCCCTGCTGGAGAAGCTGCTGGGAGGGCAGGCAGGCCTGGGCAGGCGGCTCGGTGCCCTTAACAGCTCCCTGCTGCTCCTGGAGGATCAGCTTCACCAGCTCGGTCTGCGGGAACTCACTGGTGAGGGGGCAACAGGAGCCATGGGGCTGAGGGGTTGGGGGATCCCTTTCAAGCCCTTCCCACAACAGCGTAGCTTAACCTCAGCGGCTTTCCCTTTGCTCTGCCCAGCATGAATTGCAGACCCACCATTGTCCCAGGGGTAGACTTGTCCATAAGAGATGACCCAAGGTCCCAGCTTCCTGCCTTCCCTTGGCCCCTCAGATGGAGGAGAGGTGGGGTGCTGCCTGCCAGCCAGGTATCCAGTGTGGATAGCAAGTGGCCCCAGCAACCTTTCCATGGAGCCACTGCTTTCCTTGTCCTTTGGAAGCTCCTTTTATGGCTCTCCTTCAACTTAGTTTTATCACTGTAGGGCCTGCAGGCGAGGCTGGGCCCCCAGGGCCTCCTGGGGTGCAGGGACCCCCAGGTCCTGCTGGACCTCCAGGACTGCCAGGCAAGGATGGACCAACAGGGCCCATTGGGCCACCAGGTATGTGAGATGAGATTCTTGCTGCAGCTAGGTTTACCATCCCTTCTGGGCAGCTCCAGACTTGACATTCTACTCTGAACTTGACAGAGAAGAGGGGAAAAGGGTGAGGAATTAGGGGTCCTGCATGGCTAATAGTGACTAGGAAGAGGAATAGGAGCTGGGATAGTCACTGTGTTGGCTAATTGGATATGCGGGCCTAACTTCAATGTGTTGAAGACTAAGGCTGAGCCTACAAGGGCTATGCAGGGTGTGAAAGGCTGGCGGCTAGGACTTATGACCCAGCAGTTGAACAGAATGGGCCCTACCTAGTTCCCTTTTCTTAATACTCCCATTCCTGATTTGGAGTCTGCATAGCACCTACCCAGCAGGAGAGGCCCAGCAGATGTTTGCCAAGTGACTTAGTGAGAGCTGGCCTACTTCTCACTGCTCCCTTTCCTCCTCCACAGGTCCCCAGGGTGAGCAGGGTAAGTTCCTCTCATTGATGCTAGAGGGATGGTAACTGAACTAGGCTTGGAGGATGTAAGGCCTCATGCAGCCCTGGGCGTAGAGACCTGGGAGGGAAAGAGGGCTAGACAGCTCTGCTCTGAGAATCGCCTCTGACACCCACCCTACCCCACTCAGGAGTGGAGGGGGCACCAGCAGCTTCTGTACCCCGGGTGGCCTTCTCAGCTGCCTTGAGTTTGCCCAGGTCTGAACCAGGTACAGTGTCCTTCGACAGAGTCCTGCTCAATGATGGGGGCTACTATGATCCAGAAACCGGTAAGCCTGGGAGCGGGCTGGCTGGGCGCAGGGGGAAACCTGCCAGGCTGTGCAGTAATATGTGCTCACTCTTGCCGCTTCAGACACGGTGAATCCTTTCATGCTCTGGTTTGGGGAGAGCCCCATTCTTTCCTTCATTTATTCATTTTCACCATAGCTTGGACTGGATGGTGGTGTGGGGAGGGGAAGAGCCATTCCCTTCAACAGCTCTTGCCGGGGCACTGTCTTGAGTGCTGGGGATGCAGTAATAAACAAAACACCAAATTCCCTGCCCTGGTGGAGGGATTCCTTACCTTCTGGTGGAAGAGAGGTGAAAAGACCCAGCGGGTCCCTCCCTAGTCCAGTTCCAGATGGTTCCCTGACACCTTCTTGGCACCTGCCACCTGTCTCCCCGCCTGACTGTCATCCTTGTCCCTAGGTGTGTTCACAGCGCCACTGGCCGGGCGCTACTTGCTCAGCGCAGTGCTAACTGGGCACCGCCACGAGAAAGTGGAGGCAGTGCTGTCTCGCTCCAATCTGGGCGTGGCCCGCATAGACTCAGGTGGCTATGAGCCCGAGGGCCTGGAGAATAAGCCCATAGCCGAGAGCCAGCCCAGCCCGGGTGCCCTGGGCGTCTTCAGTCTCATCCTGCCGCTGCAGGCCGGGGACACAGTCTGCATTGACCTGGTCATGGGACAGCTGGCGCACTCGGAGGAGCCGCTCACCATCTTCAGTGGAGCCCTGCTCTATGGGGACTTGGAGCTAGAACAGGTGTAGACAAGAGGCTGCGATGACCGGCCCGAAGTGTCTACGCCGGCCAAAGAGTAAGCGGGGGCGGTGGGCTTCTGGGGGACGCCGCCTGGTACCGGGCGCCATCTTGGCTCCCCAGCCCTGGGACAGCCATCTCGGAACCTACCGAAGCACAGGCGCCCGGGACGGTCTCCTCCTCACGGCCGGAGCGCTCCAGTTCAGGGACTCTGGAGTCACCTCCTCCAGACTTTTGACCCGATCGCCGTCCCCTGCAGGACCCAGACTGTGGAGGAACCGATCCTCGTACCCTTTGCTACCCCAGCTGGCCTCTAGGCCGATTTCCTGGGCTCCAGGGCCCTCCTGAGGAGGCCCAAGCCCCCATCGCCATACTAAACTATTCAGGAATAAAGACACTTGGTTTTTCTAAAAAAAACAAAACAAAACAAACCGTCTGATCCAGTATGTGTTCAGGAGTAGAGGCGTACACAGGGGATGGGGAGGGGAGAGCCCAGGGTTACGGACCCGGCTCACTCCCTCCTGCTGGAGTGGCTCTGCCTGCTCGCGCCCTGGACGCGCGGGTCACAAGGAGGACCAGCCGCAGAGTCCTGGGGCTCTGCTCTTGGTTACGCCCGTGTCCGCCAGGGGGCGCTGTTTGCTGAGGCTGCTGCGCCGCGAGACGCCGTCTCCCGTCACGTGACCACGCCTCGCACTGTGCGGGCCCGGGCTGCACCGTCTCGGACAGGGCGGGCCTGGGGGACTGGCGGAGAGGCGGCGACAGCGCGGGCAAAGGCTTGGACTGCGGGGGTCAGGGTGCTGCAGCAAAAACCAGCTCAACTCCGCCGATATACGGTCTGGAGTGGGAGCCACCCGTGCAGGAGAGGGCGGGTCAAGGGGCGCATTTCTTCTGCACTTTCCCTTTGCATTCAGATTGCTTAGCTGCGCTTTAGAGAAAATTGCATTAGCTCCGAATTTGTCTAAGTGAGGAAACTGAGGCAGCGAAGTGGGAGGCGTTGCCATCTGTTGGGCCACACAACATGCTAAGGGGAGGCCAAGGACCAAGACCTCGAGGTGTGCGCTACTAGGCCCGCTTGGGTCAGTGGGCGCGGGGAGCAAGGGCCCCGCTGCGTTCCCTGCACCCCATTGCTCCCCTCGGCGCTGCGGAAAGCTCACTGTAGGAGGAGCTCGGGACGCTGGGGAATGGGGAGGAGCTAGGGCAGCCTCAGGAACGGGGACACAATCCTCCCGGATTAGAGGCAGAGCCCGCAAGGAGCCCCGACAGCCGGGCGGGCAGAGAACTCTGGGAGCAGCCTCATGGAAGAGAAGCAGATCTTGTGCGTGGGGCTAGTGGTGCTGGACATCATCAATGTGGTGGACAAGTACCCGGAGGAGGACACCGACAGCAGGTAGGGACGCCCAGGTAGCTCCGCGACCCCAGGGGCCACTGCAGCCCTGCATTTGTGTCCAGCGGCCCAGAAGGCAGGGCCGTGCAGCCAGGGGCGGTGCAGTGAGGCAGTGAGAGTTCTAGCTTCGGGAGCTGGTGCCTATGCCCTCTTCTGTGGACCTGGGGAAAGAATTGCGGCCTTTAGCAATAAGACTCAGGCTTTGGATAGCATTGTGTTGCCTAATTTCCGTTTCAGACCTGGGACAGTGACAGGCATCATTATCCCTGTTTTACCCCTAAGCAAGTAGAGATTCTGAGAGATGATTTATCCAAGGGCGCGCAGCTAGTAAAGTGAAGGACCCGTTTCTTTCTTCCTTGTTGAAGTACATGCAGTAAGACTGTTCAGAAACACTTCAAACCGTGATATTTGATCTTCACTATAGCTTCAGGGCTTGCTGAAGGCAAATCTGGAGATGCTGTGGGTTATCGATAGCGCTACTTCGTGTACCACAATGAACTTTTCCCTGGTGCTAAATTCCAAAGGGCCTTTCATTACCAGAAATTCCTTTTTCAAAAGTCAGTGAACAACATAGTGGAAAACATCCTTCTCACTTGTCTGATAGAGGCTGAGGAGTTGTTTGTTGGTTGTTATATTTAAGAACCACACCATTATACCATAATCCCAAGAAGGCATTTCTGTGAAGGAAATACATGGTTTTCTCTTGGTGTGGTCTGGTGCTTAGAATACTTAGAAGAATTGCTCCTTGGCCATCAGCTGTCTCAGCCAAGACCTGGATAAAAGGATAGTTCAAGACTGAACCCGGGCAAGACACTGCAGCACAAGAGCCATGAAGCTAACTGAGGGGACAGACCCGGCACTCTGCCCAGCACTGTCACATGCATGTCACATACTTTCCTCACAGCAGCCCCAGGGAGGTGTGTAAGGATCAGTCCAAACCTCTCTTTACAGATGAAGAAACTAAAGATGTGGAGCAATTAAATGGTTTTTGTAAGGCCACACAATTAATGAGTGGCAAGAAATAATGACAACTCGAGGTCCCTAACTCCAAGTCTAGTGTGCCAGTCCTCTGTCATCTCTTGTGCTCCCTGTCCTGTGCTACTGCCCAGCTCATGGAATTGACCCTCAGCTTTGGGCTGCCTTGTTTGCCAAAGGTTAGAGCCCCTTGCTGGGGTGCAGGGACAGTTGGGGAGGGGCATGGGACGCGTTGCTATATAGACGTAGCCCACTCACAAAGATCAAGCCGGCCCCAGGACACTCATGCACAGTGACGAGTTAGGCTTCCTCTCAGGGGAACAGTGTGAATTCTGGGGCCACAGGTCCTCCAGGACTGTGGAGCGTCTGGAAAGGACTGAGAGTGCTGCTTCCAGCTAGAGCTGAAGTCCCGTTCCCTTTGAGCTTACCTGTCTCGGAAGGCCAGAGGAAGGAGATTCTGCCAGCTCCCACCATGATGGGCTCACTCTGAAGGTGGCACTAAGTGAGGTGTCCTTTAAAGAGACCTTTCCCATGCTCTCCATGCCCCCTGCCCTTCAGGGCGTGTCTGCCCTCCCCAGACCCGAGGGACGCTGCAGGGCAGTTTGTTGGCCCCAGGGCCTCTCTGTCATGCTCCTGTCCAACCCAGCCCAGCTTCTGGACTCTGTTGTGTCTCCCAGATAACCAAGCCTCAGTGGGGACCCAGTCCTTCCCCGGCATCTCAGTCCCACCTGTCCCAGGCTGCCCCACAGGCAGCTGGGAACTCTCAGGAACTGGCCCCTGAGGAGTGGCCCTGCCTCCCAGAGCCCAAGCCGAGAGGAGCCTTTCAGAGGCACCCTCATGCTCTGAGGAGCCCTAATGCACAGGAGGTTGGGTGTTGGCGTGAGTTTGAAGAGTTTCCACATGAGTGAAATTGTATATTCTTTTCTTAAGGCTATACATGCTGGGGCCTAACTACTTTTTTGCAAAAATACAAAATACATTGCCCTGGTTTTGGAGTCAGGATCCCTGGGTTCTGATGTCAGCTGTGTCATGAACTATTGGTGTGATCATGAGGCAGTCAGACCCTACTAGGCCTGCCTTTCTTCTATGCATGGAAATTTCTCTAAAGCTCCTAGCTTGAGAAATATTTGGCCCTTTACAAATTAGCATCCTTCTTTTTAATTAGATCATGGACCCTTTTTTCCCAAAGCTGGAGGGAACTCCAGGGTTAAGTTTTGTGAACAACTATGTCTTAGCCTAAAAATTTGACTTCATTTATTTCTCTGAGTGGTCCTTTGATACTTGCTCCTCATATTGTATTATTACTATTATACACATATAGTATATAATTAAAATCATAATATATATTATGCATATATTAGATCTATAATATAATAATAATTGGCCACAATTATTATTATTCTCTTTGGAATTGAAAGACTAGAAATAACAGCCTGCATTGTTTACCTTACAAGATTATTAGAGCACAAATGAGAAATCATTAAAGTGCTTTGACTATGTATGTGTCAGTCATCATTTTTGTTGTTGACAATAACAATGAAGCCTTTCAGGTATATGCTGAATTAGTTTACTTTTGGTAGATTTTTAGGAAAGATTAAGAAAAACTAAAGAAAAAAAAAGGTAACTCTGTGATGTGTGGGAGGTGTTAACTAACCTTACTGCAGTTATCGTTTCACAATACATACGTATATCAACTCATCACATCATGCACCTTCCATTTTCAGAACATGATATGTCAATTATATTTCAGTAAAGCTGAAGCAGGGGGAGGCAAACAAGCAAAACAGATGGAGACAAACTGCTCTTCACCCAATGATCTTCGTAACTTTTGACATCGTAAAAACTCCCTCCCACTTCTTAAATGATCACAACGGCCAGGTCTGCTTCTTGTCTTATGCATTTTTAATTTGACTTATTGTGGAAGTGGGCTCTCCCAAGACAGAAGCAGGTGGTAGGCTGGACACGTTTGGGAAGAGGCGCATGGAGTTACCTAGCTCTCGAGGAGGAGGCTGAGGGCACAGCAGCTCTGCCTGGGGGGAAGTGGGTCATTGTAACTGAGGAGATGACCCAGAGTTAGTGGAGTGCTCTGATTGTGATGGACCTAAGAAGAGGTGGAAGATAGAAATGAATCACTGTGCACTTGAATTTAGCCTGGCCTGCAAAAACAGACCTGGTGCCCAGCTGCACCTCTTCCTCCCGTGGAGCCTTAGTTGCCCATCTAGAAAATCAGAAGGCTGGCCTGGATGCTTTTTTTGGGGGTCGGGGTCTCCTGACTTTTATAGTCTGTGGCCGGTCCTGCTTATCCTGGGGCCAACCTGCTGGGGCTGCAGGGACCCTCCTTGTGTTTTGCAGGTGCTTGTCCCAGAGATGGCAGCGTGGAGGCAACGCATCCAACTCCTGCACGGTTCTCTCTCTGCTCGGAGCCCCCTGCGCCTTCATGGGCTCACTGGCCCCGGGGCCTGTTGCCCAGTGAGTGGCAGGGGAGGCCTGCCCACGGGTCCAGGGGCGGTGGGGGAGCAGAAGGAAGGAAGTCTCAGCCCTGGAGGGGAGCAGGCTATAAGAAATGGTTGGTGGCCACCAAAAATGGGTGGGAGGGGGCGGAGTGGAGCACCAGCATCCCCTCTGTGGTGTGGCTTATCTGCTGCTCAGGTGTTAGCGCTGCTCCTGTGGAAGCTTTCCTTCCACAGCCATTTCCTGCATCCTTCCCTGGAGCCTGCTTCAGCACCCCCCGCCTGCTCCTTCCTTGCTTCCAACAGACACTTGGCAGTGGGTGTGACTTGGCCCTTCGCAAGTCTCTTATCCTGGCTGTGCTTGCGACAGAGGCAGTTAGAAACATGACGTACCTGCCCTCCCTCAGGTATCCGGCATCCATGGTCCTGGGGTCCAGGCCTGAAGTTTCTTTGTCAATTGAGGGGGCAGGGCGAGTGCCTGTTGTTCACTGAAGCAATAAGAGGGCCCTGCCTAAGGACACCCTCAGGTGACATGCTAAAGCTGGGCCCAGACCCATGCCCCCCAGCTCATCTGCTGTGGGGCTGCAGCCTGTGAGTGGCCATGAGCTTTCTCCAGGTTGGCTGCTACAGGGACCCAAGAGCCCTTTGGCCCCTGGGCCAGCTGACTCAGCAGCATTTATCAGGAGGTGAGGCCCACACTTTGCCCGCTGCAGGCAGTGGGGCAGGCTGCCTGGGGCTGGCCTATGAAGCACAGTCCTTTGAACTCTGGTTTGAGGGACACCACTACCAGAGTCCATCCCCCTGACTGGACTGTAGCCAGACTCCCTTCCTTGATGAACTGGCAAGAAGCACATCGGAGGGCTAGAACCTGCCCTGTGAGGGGCAGCAGAGCCAACAGCTGGTCACTTGTTAACTCTTTTCAGCAGCTGCCTTCTCCCATCTAGAGACAAGACCATGGCTCTTGCTTAGGGTAGTGCACCCATCTTCAGGTAGCAATCATAGGTGGGCCATTCTGAATTCTACCATGTGTTCAACAAACATTTATTGAGCACCTATCATGTGCCAGGCAGTATGGGTGTACAAGGTGGTTTAGCTAACCAAACCATATTTTGCATGGTTTGGGAAAGCTACTCTTTATAGGATCCTTGAGGTATAAGACAAGGAATAATGTCCCAGCCTGGTGCCTTTATAAAAATCTGTATTGTGGTCCAGCTTTGGTGTTGCTGAAAGTAGGGTCCAGCCATAGTGAGAAAGAACAGGATGGTGGCTGGCCTAGTGGGTGTAACTGTATTTCTAGAGAGGGCTGGGAATGATGAGGCTGGCCACCTTGCTCTGCTGATGTAGGCTTCCTGAGGGGTGGCCCTGGGTGCACTCTGACCAGAGGGAACTCTGGGTAGGAGCCCTGGGCCAGGCCCATGCTGAGGGGCAACAGGCACCGGGAGCCAGCTCACTGCCCAGCAGGGTTCACCTCATCGCGAGAGGACAGGGCAGTGAGCAGGCTCACCAAGCAGCAGCACTTCCTGGCGGGCATCATGGAGGCAGCAGTAGGATGAGAGGACCTGTGTTAGGACAGAAGGGACTTCAGTGAGCAGAACACCATGGGGATGGGCATGCAGAGGGCAGCTGGGGGGCAAAGTGTCCTCTGGTAATTAATTATTAATTCTGCCTGGGCTTTGCATGAAATGGGCCACAGTGCCCTTGCCTGCTTGGTTCAAACAGGGTACATGTGCTACGCCCCAGGTCTACCCTGTCCAGCTTTATGAACTTGAGCAAATCCTTTCTAGCTTGAGTCAGACTCAAGGCTAGGGGCAGGGTTGGGAGTCTGCTTCAGTCAGGACATAAAAGAATGTCCATTAGTGTTTTTCTCACTGAATCCAGGCTATGCACCCCTGCCTCTCCTGCGCCTTGTACAGCCTGTCAGCACGGTGATTTTCAGTTCCCTCCTGGCTTCTCCTGCTTGCAGCCAGGTTCCCAGGGGCCCTGCCACATATCCTCCAGTCCCCAAACTCTTGTCATACTGCGGCTCCCCCGGGTCACTCCACCCCGGCAGTTTTGTTCTGGATGACCTCCGCCACTACTCCGTGGACCTACGCTACACGGTCTTTCAGACCACGGGCTCCATTCCCATCTCCACAGTCGTCATCAGCGAGGCCACCGGTAGCCGTACCATCCTCCACGCCTATAGGTTTGTACACCTGTCTGCACCTTGCCAGCTGCCGCCACTGCCATCACTAAACTTCCAGAACAGGATCCTTCTTTCAGAGGCCCTGATGCTCAGACGCCTCCCCACCCCTGTGGGAGGCCCAGGCCACCTGTAGGCTCTAATCTTTGTCTCCTTGCCTTGCCTTGGTTCGGAAAAAACCCCAAGCTTCCTGGTGGCTGACTTCAGGCAGCGGGGCGTGGACGTGTCTCAGGTGGCCTGGCAGAGCAGGGGGGAGACCCCATGCTCTTCCTGCATCATCAACAACTCCAATGGCTCCCGCACCATTTTGCTGTATGACACGTAAGGCCCCCTGGCCTCCCCCTGCCACAACCCAACCCACCAATCAGTCCCCTCACTCGTCACCATGGGCATCCTAGCTGTCCGCACTGCCCACAGAGTGACCTCTCCCTTTATACTAGAAATTGTCCCTGTTCATTGATTTTTAATTGTTTTCAATTACTGGAGAAGAGAGGTGGGAAGAGACGGGCTTTGCTCTGCCTGGCTTTGGTCAACACCAAGGACTGGCAGGCAGGCCCAGGCACAATGTAATTCATGATGTAATTCTGTCATAATTAGTCAATCAGCAGCATGGGGGTGGCTATGGGGGAATTGTTCTGAGGTCAGAGGGATGAGAGATGTGATTCAAAGCATCTTAAGCCCTAAAGGGGGCCCACTGGGATTTCCAGGGTCAGCCCCAGAGTTGCTAGCCTGCAGTGTGGCACCAAGGAGTTGGGGGTTTGGGTGTTCAAAAAAGATGAACCTCCCAGACCAAATGCTGCACGCCACTCACAGCCATTGCTGAAGGAGAGAGAAGGGGAACACTGGTCTGGCAGATTGGGGCCATCTGATATATTATACTAACCTGGGGAGGAGCCTCCCTTTAGGGTCCCAAGCTATGAGGTAGAGACCTTGTGGGTCCAGACCCTTCTCAGCTCTTCCAGATGCTCTCCTGGAGAATCTCAGAAGTTTAGTTTCCTGAGAACCTAGTGTATGCCAGGTACTTTGTTAGGGCTGAAATGGCCCGAGCCCAGCTGCTCTGCTGCTCCTGGACCTGGGGAGGAGGGGGCAGTCATCCTAGGAAAAACTTTATGGCCAGTGGTCCCTGGACTTCATGTGCCCCAACAAATGAGCGGGTGGGCACATCTGCTAGTGGCGACACATCAGGCAATCCTAATCATCTACCCATTAGGCAACAATCTGTAGCAACTTTGATCGAGAACACAATGTGACTATTCACAGGAAGGGAGGGAAGGGAGTTTGGAGGAGGAATGCTTGTTGCCTGCTGGCCTCAGTCCAGGCATATCTGCACACATCACCTCCAACTGCAGCCGGCTGAGGAGGTTCGGCCCCACTGACCTATGGGGAAGCAGTCTTGGAAAGGCCCAGGTCACGCAGCTAGTTAAATGGACGAAAGATTCGGCTCCAGGACACAGAGGGGAGGATATCGGCTGGGTGTAGGTCTCGGCCAATAAGGGTCAAGGTGGACCCTTTTTGGGTCTCCACACCTAAGTCAGCCAAACATAAACTCATCCTCAAGCACCAACCTTGACCTCAAGATTGCAACATGAAGCGGCCAAACTCAGGAGGGCAGAGCTGTAACCACTGGGGTGCCAGGAGTGAGTGGACCAGAGCTAGGGCACCCACAGTCTTTGTAGTTTCCCAGGCCACTGCATGCTGGGAGGTGTGTACTGCTGGCAAGGGGGGTTCTGGGGATTGTAGTCCTTGGTGCTCTGTGCATTTGGGGACATGTGGTCTCCAAGGCATAGATACAGAACTGGCCCCTTGACACATGCTGTGGTTGAATTTGCCCTCAGATAATATCACAAACACAGGAAGTGGCACTCAAGCAAACTGCCTCCAGTTCCCTGTCTGGATGGAGTTGAGTGGGGCAAGGAGTGATCAGGAGTTTAGCCTGGGACAGGGCCTATCCTGGAGCTGAACCTCAGAAATCCGTGCTGTAGATCCAGCTTCTCACCATGCTGCAGGCAGTACCAGGCATAGGGGCCCCAGTAGCCAATTAGAAATCTTGCCCTGCCTGCCCTCACCATGCCCCTTCTTCTGTCCTTTCTGTCATGACTTAGGAACCTGCCAGATGTGTCTGCTACGGATTTTGATAAAGTCGATCTGACCCGGTTCAAGTGGATCCACATTGAGGCAAGCCCTGCCCTTTCTGTGTTTCAAGGGACTCAACTTGCTAGCCCCTCTACCTATTCAGCTCCTCCTTGGTTGCTTTGAACCATAAAGTACCTTAAAGATAGATGAATACAACCCATGCATCCCCTTCCCATCCTTCTTTATGTTTTCAGGTAGGAAACTAAGGCCCAGGAATACTGGGTGGCTTACTCAAGGTCACATAGCAAGCTGTAGGCATCAGAGGTCCTTTGTGTTTTCTGTGTTACATGTGGCCCCATCTCCTCCAGACTTGGCCTCTGTCACGAGCCTAACCCATTATCTCTGGGGAGGCAGGCGTGAGAGGGCCTGGCCCAGCTCCCAAATAAAGGGAAGTAGAATCTTCATTCCAAGGAAAGTGGGAAAAAGCCCAAGAAGTCCTGAGTTCTAATCCTAGCCTTGTTGATTAATTTATTGTAGGTTCTTAGGAGCCTGCAGTAAATAGTTCTTTAGTCTTTAGTTTCCTCATCTGTGAAATGGGAGGGCTTGTCGATAGGGTCTCTAAGGTTCCCTGACAGCTCTAGAATTTTGAGACTTAGGGGAGAGGGCTCCAGGCCAGCCTTCCCCGGCCCCTCTCCCCCTTCACACAGATTTCCAACAGGGAGTGAAGAAGGAGCCGATCATTTGGGCACTGCCCAGCTGGTCCTGAGCTGCCCTGTCCTGCCTCAGGGCCGGAACGCATCAGAGCAGGTGAAGATGCTGCAGCGGATAGAAGAGCACAATGCCAGGCAGTCTCCAGAGCAGAAGATCCAGGTGTCGGTGGAGGTGGAGAAGCCCAGAGAGGAGCTGTTTCAGCTGTTTGGCTACGGAGATGTGGTGAGCATCCCACGTAGCTTTCCCTTGCCATATCCAGCTAATTTCATTCTTAAAAGGAGCCCCAGCATTCCTTTGTCCCGCCTACCAGACCCAGAACGGTGACTTGTGGAGTGGTGGTGCGGTGGTGTGGCAGGAGGGGGGGCAAAGAGGCAGACCCCCAGCTTTGGACTCTGGTGCAGGACTCAGCAGTGGCCAAGGAGTTGAATTTCTCCACCCCAGCGGGTGCACAGGGATGAAAATAGCCAGCGAGGTTGGACAGGGCCGAGCCAGCCAGCCACATGCACACTTACCTGGAAGCACCTTCTCCCTGGCTTCCCCTCTGCGAAACGAGGGATGGGACTGCTCTGTGAGGTGTCCTCACGTCTGGGGTGGGTGGCCCGTGGGAGCCACTAGGGTTGAAGTAGAATGGCAAAGGGACTTGCACAAGGTAAATTTGGGCAGGGCTGGGATGTACATGAAATCTGGGTGATGAGCCAACTGTCACAGCCAAAGCTGGTTGAGCCTCAACATTGGCAGCACTTAAAAGGATATGGATGCCTGAGCCCCACCCCTGGTTTTTGTTTGCTTGGTAGAAGTGCTGGGTGGAAGTGCTCTTTAACAAAACTGGCGACTCTATTACAGAAGTGCTGCTGTTGTGTCGAGGTGTTGTGTTAAAGCGGTGTTGAGGAAGCTCTAGAACCCCTGCCCCTTTGTGTTAAAGATAGGATCTTGACCTAAAGGGCCTAGTTGCATGAGGAAAACAAACCAAAACCAAACCCAAACCCGGCGAGCCACATTTAACTCGGAAGAGGAAGCTCTCACCCCAAGAGGGCGCTCAAGGCTCGCTTTGGGTTTTCAATTGCAAGGAAATTCATTGAGCTTAGAAAAAATAGGCCGGGGTTTTTGTGTCGCAATTGATGGGGCTGTATTCCAGCATGTCTTGAGCAAGTATGAACACGTGCTCCTGTGGGACATCGAGATGCTATGTTGGGGATTTAGGTGGCCCTGTTGGAAGAGAGGTGCTCTATGGGGGGCAATGTTAGGCTGCTTGCTGGTAGTGAGTGACTGACCTGGGACTCAGTCAGCCTCCCTTCCACTGCCCTCAGGTGTTTGTCAGCAAAGATGTGGCCAAGCACTTTGGGTTCCAGTCAGCGGTGGAGGCCCTGAGGGGCTTGTACAGTCGTGTGAGGAAAGGGTGAGCTGAGGGCAGCCAGGAGGAGGCCTTAGGTGCACGGAGTGAGTGAGCCTGCACTCCAGGCCCCTGCCCTGGGGGGAGATGAGGCTGGGTGCCAGGGGTGGCTAAGGTCCAGCTGAGTGGAGGGCTTGCAGGGCTGTGCTTATCTGTGCCTGGGCTGAGGAGGGCGCTGATGCCCTGGGCCCTGAAGGACGGCTGGTCCACTCGGATGCCTTCCCACCACCCCGGGTGGTGGACACTCTGGGTGCCGGAGATACCTTCAATGCCTCGGTCATCTTCAGCCTGTCCCAGGGTAAGTATGCCAGCAGGAGGCACAGGGCTGGGCCCAGAAGACCAGGCTGACCCAGCTACTTGTCCCTCCCTCCAGGGAAGAGCATGCAGGAGGCCTTGAGGTTTGGCTGCCAGGTGGCTGGCAAGAAGTGCGGCCTGCAGGGCTTTGATGGCATCGTGTGAGTGCCCTGTGGCAGGTGCTGGCTCACGGCTCGCTCACCTTGCAGGCTGGCCTCACTGGCTGCCATTGCCTTGTCCACTCATCCAGCCTGGCATCTGAGCTGCCCTGCCCTGTCCCCTGGACAGACGCAGGCTGTGGGAGGGCTCTGCCTGTGTCCTGACATCTCTCACTGCAGAACAAATAAATCTTCCCCAGAGCCAGCTTCCTTCTGGCAGTCTGTTTGTCCTTGATTTCTAAACTTCCCTGGTTGGGGATTCTGAAGGATTTTGATGCTAGTCCTTCACCCTCTTTTATCCAGTCCCCAAATTAATCTCCCTACCCAGGCCCAGAGGAGGGGCTGCCTAGATCAGAGTGGTGGGAAGTGACCCAATCCTGCCATCTGCCATGCCCTTTGGGAAAGCCCAACCGTCCTGTCCAGTAAAGGGCAGCCACAGGGCATGGGTAGACAGGGAGCCTTGTGACTATGGAGGACACTTGTCTCTTTGCACCCCAAGGAACCTTCCAAACGGCCACAAGCTATGAGGAAAGCTCCCCTGGATCCCTGTGCTGTCACAAGACTCCAGTCATGTGGCCCCAGGAGTGTCCACATGGTTGAGCCAACCTGACTAGCTGGGCAGGAAGCCTACTCTGGGGCTTGGTGGAGCCTTTGCAGTCCAGAAATGGCTCTCCAGGGACTGCCCCACAGCCTGAAAGCTCCACCTTTGGAGCCGCCCTGTAGTTAAGCCTGCCTTAGCCACAAATGTGAGCCAGTACATGGGGTTGCTTCCCTGGGGTGGACTGCATCTGAGGGCATATTGGAATTGGCCAGTTTCCATATGGGGGTTGGAACAGGGGGGTGAGGCCATAGAATGTGATAAAGAGTGTAAGCTTTGGGGTCAGACAGACCTGAATTCACTTAATTAGCTGTGTCATGTTGGGTGCATTACTGAACTCCATCTTCCTCAATTTCCTCATCTGTCAAATGGAGCTAATTCGCCTGCTCATGGAATTATTGAGGATACAACCAGACAATATATAAAATGCCCAGCAGGATGCCTGATGTGTTCTGGGCTCTCCATAAATGGTTATTGTTGATATTACAGGGGTGGGGCTGACCCACTGTGATGGTGAAGGTCTGTCCTGAGCCGCAGGAGGGCACTGGGTGTCCAAACACCAGGGACGGGGGAGCAGGAGCATCTGGCCCCAGGAGGAGGCTAAGCTCTCTTCCCCAGGTTGTCTGCAGCTGGCCATAGCCTGGTGCTATGCTCTGTGTCTCAGCATCATCCGGGAACACTGGGAAAGCTGAATCCCTGCCCTGCCAAGAGCCTGTCCAGTCCCCAAGCCCTTGTGTCTCTGTGGCAACATGTGTCCCTGAGGTCCAGGCAGGCTGGACCAGTGGATAGACAGCCCAGGGGGGATGAATTCATTCAATTCTTTATTAGTTGTCTAGGCCCTAAAGCTACCCCTTAACTTAGGGTCTCCCTGAGCTGCACAGAAAGACCTGTCACTTTCTTGGGCCAGGGAGGGGACAGTGAGGTGGCCCTTGCCCCACCATATACACCTCACCCTCCAAGCTTATGTTCTGGCACTGAGACTTCTAGGGTGCAAACCTGTATCCCCCAGGCTTACATCTCATCATTCTCCAGTTGTATAGCATGAACCTCAAACTCATCTGGTATGTTCTGAGACTCCATGGCTTCCCCTGGAAACTCTCCTTCCTCTCCAATGTCCCTGGTCTCTGCCTGTCCCCAAGCCTCCCCTCCAGGGCCTGGTGCTTCTTCTCCAGCCTCTGCCTGACCTCCAGCCTCCCACCCTGGGCCTAGGGCTTCTCTTCCAGGTTCTGTCTGTCCCCCAGCCTCCCATCCCGGTCCTGGGGCTTCTCCACCAGCCTCTGCCTGTCCCCCAGCCACCTGTACAGGCTCCAAGGACTCTCTTCTGGCCTCCACCTGTCCCCCTGCTTCTTCCCTGGGGCCCAGGGCTTCCTGTGCTTCTTGTCTCAATGGGCTTCTAGGTAACATGGGCTGTTTGCCAATATCTTGTGGCTCCAGGGGCTCTGTGGGCTCTGTGGGCCTTGGGGCCTCTCCAGGGAAGTTGATGAGCTCTGCAGGGGTCATGAGCCCATCCCCATTCAGGTCCTGGGTCTCGAGCACCTTGTCCACTACCAGGATCACCTGTGGAAACACACAGTTGCTGTGGGGTCTACAGTGACCAGAGACGTTCCTAGGAGCCCAGACCCTCCACGACCCCCACACTCCCTGCACCCCTGCAATGCAGGCTTTGAGCACTTCTTTCACAGGGATTCACCAAGAGTCACAATGACAAAGACCAGAGCCCCAAGGAGCTGGGTCTGCGTCGTCAGCGAAGCCCCGCCCCTGCCCCCAGCATGCAGCAGGGCTTACAGGGTTGATGATGGGAAAGTCAGCAGCTCCAGGGGCCAGAGCTGCTGTCAACATGGACAAGAGCTCCAAGCCATCCAGCTGTCCACTCTGATCATAGTCATGGAGGGCAAAGAGGTAGAGGAGAACTGAGGGAAAGAAGCTGGGTCAGAAGCGGTGTCAGGAGACAGTTGGAGGAGGCAACGGGCCAGCCAGAACCGTCCACTGGCCCATCAGCCCAGCCCCTCACCCTGCTCCCGGCTCATGTGCTCCGGCTCTTCTTCCATCCTCTCTAGTCCCTTTAGGTAGTTCTGCAGAAGTCTGGCAGAAAAGTGGGAAATGAGCCCAGGAGAGGCCAGTCCGCAGCCCCAGACGAGCCTAGCCCTCAGGCCCCAGCCCAGCCTACTCACCGAAGCTGCTCCTGGCCTGGCTGGAAGGGGTTGCGCAGGGGCTGCTGCCGCACATCAGGGTCCAGCCTGGGGGAGCAAGGGAAGGACCAGCCTTGCAAAGAGCCTACCAGCTTCCACCCCCAAGCTCCTGTCAGAGTTCTCTCCTCAGACCCAAAGGAAGCTGCTTCTCCAAATTCTCAAAAACCTTATGGGAGGAGGTCCTGCTGGTCTCCTTGGAAGCAGAAACTGAGAGTCTGTTTTTGCAGATCCCTAACTCAGAGGTGAAGTGAAAACATTTTGAGACCAGATGAGGCCACACTTAGCAGACATAAATTGGGGACCCAAGCAAATGGTGAAGTGGGTGGCAGGATGGTGTGGATCATGGCAACCCTTCTGTTTTGCTACTGGGGGCCAAGGGGCAGTTCCCTGGCTGAGCCCAGAGCGCTGCCCCGTGTTACACAGACCTGATTTGCTCCATGACACAAACTAGACTCTCTTTTTCCCCAACCTGAGGGCATATATGTTGGTTTTGGAGTTTCAATCTGCTCAGGGTCTCTTTGCTAGTCTTTAAAGCTCAAGATTTACTCCCAGTTCTGGACAAGGCTACCTATTTGCCCAAGTAAATCCAGGCGCATATTGCCAGAGAGCCAGTGGGAGCTGTTGCAGCCAATACTGCTGCGGCTGCCAGCCCTGCTGTGCATCCTGTGTGTGTTCCCCCACCTCACCCCGCACACCCACTGCACAGCGTTAATGCACAAAACCTCAAGGAAGATACTCAGATAAAACAGGAACGATATGCTTGTAATCTCAATTTTTTTGCAGTTCCCTCTAAGGTCTTTGTAAGAAGACCACAGCCTCTTCCCTGGCCCATGGCTTCTTCCCTATGCTTCATACCTCATTGGAAATGAGCTTTTGGTTTCCAAATGAGTCCAGCAAGCATGTGCTGAAGGCCCATTTTTTGTAGGGCGCTCTAACAGGCACAAGGCAGAGGCTGAGGTGGATGGGGAGGGATGCAGAAGTCGGGGAGCCTACACCCCAGTCTCCTGCCTCCCAGAAGGGCTCACCACAGTCCTGGATTCTCTGGAGACTCACCCTGCCCCCTGCCCATGGCCCCCCCTCTGAATCCCATTACCTTGCGGGCCCATCCTTGGGAGCAGCCTGACCCAGGGGCAACAGCAGAAACACTAACGTTCTCACGGCCAGAGGCAACATCCTCCCTGTAACTGCAACTGGAACAGTGAGGGAGTTAGCGGGAAGGGGCATGTGCCACAGATGGGGGCTCGGCGGTTAGACAGCAAGGCCTTCCCTGCCTGCCTCCATCTGCAGCCCAGATACAGCACTCCTGCTCAGGGAGGAGTCACACACAGACATCAGGGGTCCCCCATGGATCAAGTTCTACTCCAGATCCAGTGTGCAGAGCACATAAAGCAGACCTGCCCTGGGGGGAAGCAGCCTGCAGGCTCAAGCCATTCCCCTTGCCCTGCTAGCCATCCCACAAGGTGCTTGGAGAAGTGAAGTTAATAAGTACATCTAATCCAGTCCAGTTGTTCATTTTGCGGATGGAAACTAGCCCAGAGAGGTTAAGAAAAAGGCCAAATTAGAAATGCAGAGAGTCCCAAAAAGACCAAGGTTTAAACAGAGAGACACATCGTTTGCTTGCATTTATTAAAAACTCACCAAAGAACAACTCAAAAGAGGCTCAGACTCTTTGACATAGGCCTAAACTCAGGTAGGGATTAAAAACACAACTAATCAGGATCAAACCAATAGGTACCCCCAGATCTGCTATTTACTAAATGCAGTTAGGCAAACCAGATTCCAGTATGAAGGAAAAATCAAACTTCCCCCTAGGCCTACACTGTATAGGCCCATTGGCAACACAATTACTTGATTTTATGAAAAGGGTCAAATATAGAAGGGACTTATCAAGACCACAGAGCATGCAGCCTTCTGATTAGTCCCAAGTATCTGTACATATCATGTGAGTTTCTGAGGAAGCAGACACCCACCAAAGCTGAGGCCTGAGACCCCAAACCCATTTCCAGGAAGACAAATCATCAGATGTTTGATTGTTTAGGCAGAGGATCAGGAACCCTCTGAATGGGTACCCTACATGCTGGCTGGCACTGAATTTTCCTAGAGAAAAGTTCACAGCTTTCATCAGATTCTCAGAGTTCCATAACCCTAACAAGATTTAGAACCACTGCAAGAGTGGACATCAGCTTTCTAAGAAATGTGGGGCAGAGCAGGTGAGCATTTCACTAATGGGAAGACAAATATGGGAACCCAGCTGTAACTGTGCAAGCAGAGCTGCCTTGAGAAAGAAGCAGCAAGACCTGGTGGTCCACAGGAGGGTAAAGCTACCGAGGCATGGCAGCTATCCTGTTTTCCATATACATGTTGACCCCCGCAGACAAAGTGAGGCTACCTAGTTTGTTGGTGTTCAGAATCAAGTGGCCAAT